AAAATCAAATTTCAGTCTTATTTTACATTTTTTTCATTCTTAGGAATGTCTAAATTCAGTTAAACTAGCAATTCCGTATTATATTTATAAATCTTTATAACATTATACAAAAATCAGATTTTTCTTAAAAATTGAAATTTTGCCGGGAATGGGGCTTTAACAGTCTTGTATTTGCAGATGGAATATTTATGACGTCATTACGTTCTAGATTTCTCCGTGTCGAGCAATCGAAAGCTCCCTATTGGCCAACGGAGTGGAACTATAGCTTGGTAACTGTATTTTCTTCATTTGATTCCGTAGACGTGAACCCACTGGACTATGTGTACCGAACACTTGACTGCCAGATGCAGTTGTTGGATAAAGACTCAGCCGAAGCGCAGCGCGTTCTGCGATACGTGCACAATACAAGTAAGGCGAGACCTCTGTTATAACTTTTTAACTGTATTCTTGAAAGATTGTAAGAGAAAGTCAGAAACAGCATACAACTTTGTTCTGTCAAAAGCATATATGAAAGAAAAATAAACAAAACGTTATTGGGAAGGGTAAAAGTGCATGAGGTAAAATAATACCCATTCGTTTTACAATGTTTTTTACTCATTTCATAGAGGATGATGGAGATTATCAAATCGAAGGCATATTCCATTTAAATCGAAAAGGCGAGGAGGAGCGTCTGCACCAAACCGACATTGACAACCATATGCTACTGTGGCATGGGAGCCGGTCGGCGAATCTGATCAGTATTCTGAAAAAGGGACTTTTGGTGGCGCCACCGGAAGCCCCTGCAACTGGCTATATGTTTGGAAAGGTATGTATTTTGGAACTTTCACATAATTTTCTGCATACAGTAGTAAATTTGACATCAATGAACATTGTAACACTCTGTCTAGATTATCAAATTTTCTTTGACAAAAAACTGTTGTGTGTTCATGTATAATCTGCCTATGAATGGTTAGAGGTGGTGCCAGAAATTTGCCGACATGGGGTCCAAAATGTCCGATGAGGAGTCCGAACTAAGCGTCCGATGAAGGCTCGGTTGACAGCCCAGAATAGAAGAAGAAATCCCTAGTAGGGTTGATGGAGAGAGTTTTAACGGCTTATTATAGTTCAAAATGTGCCTTTAGACCACAATATTAGGGAGTGGAAATCAAAATAACGTTATTTGGATAGGAAAATTATTATTTTTTAAAATTTGTTCGATGATCTAGTCGTGTGTCAGACAAAAGGGCGTCCAGGCCTGTCCGATGGGAGAAATGCCAACTGAATGATTCAGGATAACAAATTTTACAGCAAGATCATTCATTATTATGGTGTGTTGTACTTACAGGGAATATATTTCGCGGACACATTCGCAAAAAGTGCAAATTATTGTCACTCCCATGGTGATGACAGCAAGTGGATGCTTCTTTGTGAGGTCAGTGAAAATCCTTTTTTGAAGTAAATTTTTTTTTTTTAATATCTATTTTTATTTTTTAAATTTTTGATACATGATTTGAACATATGAGGCTTTGCTATTCCAAAATTAGCATCAATGACCAAATAAGGAAACTGATCGTTTAATATATTCGTATTCACCAAATTATAAGCTTGAAAATGATGAGTCATTTACTGAAATCAACTTACTATTGCCAAAGTTATGAGTAAAAGTATTACAGCTTCTCTGTACTAAAGTATTACTGCCACATTTTTATGCTAATTACAGTACTCAGTTTAACATAATAGCGACATTACGCTTGTTTTGGAATGACATGCCTAATATTTCTTATTAATAATAGCGTTTCATATGTTAAGCATTGATATATTGTTACTACAATATTCTTGAAAAATTATTATTTGGTATAATATTAATGTTAGTTATTATTAAAATTAATTTGTTGTTGTTTAGTTGTGTTGTTCTCACCACATTTGTTTTATTGTATTTTTAAAAGGTTGCCTTAGGGAAAATCTGTCCTATTAGTAACTATGGAGAATATGATGAAGACAAAGGCTTGAAAGGTTTTGATAGTGTCAAAGGTAAAGGTTCAGAGTATCCTGACCCCAAGGAAACAATTCATCTGCCAGAAGGTAAGAGTCTTGTTGCTACAGTGATATAAATCCAATTTGAAAACATGTAAAACACTGTACAAAATTTAAATAAATGTTCAAACAGGAATTGTTATGGTTGTGAGTAGTCATGAGATTGATGGCATTAAAGATGTACATAATACTCAACTAATACATTTATTAGCCTCAACAAATTGCACCGGGGAGAGGCTATGCTTTTACTGCATAGCATAAAAGAAGTAATTCTAGTTTACTGAATTATTGATAGCAGAATAGCTGATTAGTGTGGCACAGTGGAATGTAATTTAGAATACAAATGCTGTGATGAATGTGATTATTTTTATTATTAATCCAAAAATACTGCCAATACTTTCCTAAGTATTTGCCTGAATAAACTAAGCTAAGCTTATTTCACCCTTGCAACTTGCTTCAACTCAACTGATATGGACTGACCTTTAGCATCTTGCCAGCAGCGGTGAGCATCTGCGAGTCACACAATTTGAGGCGACTTGAGTGCTCTGATCACCAGTTGTTCTCAGTTGCCCATGTTCTATTTTGCTGTGTTTCAAAGCAACTGACAAGCAATCGAATGCCAGTAATAACCCAGTAACTTTAGTCTGTTAACTGCGTGCATACCATGCGCCCTAATATAGTATCAAATTATTATAGCATTCCATAGCAACTATTATCAGTCAATCGTGACGTCATCACTGCAACTTCCAATATTATTTTCCTATCCTCAACCGGGCACTAATTTTTCATTAGTGCACGGTTGTGCTTGATCATTTTTAGGTTTGTGTGCAAAAAGCCAATTCAATTGCTGTATTGCGCACCAACAGTTGATTTAAGATGATTCACGTCTAGACGCAACGGTGTCATAAGCATAGCTTTGCACCCTTTGAAAAAGTAGAATTGTCCCAGCAAGTACTATACTGTAGTTCAAGTAAAATATCTTAAAAATGTACTTGTTCCTCTCTGCAGGCTCAAAGATTCCGTTGGGTGAGTTAACTAGGCGTGGATACTCATTCCTGAATTACAACGAGTTCATTGTCTATGACAGTTCCCAGGTGTGCCTAAGGTATTTAGTGCAGTTTAAGTGAATTGAGCACTAGAAACATCAGTGGAAAGTGTAGATAATAAAGTGGAATGACAGAAAGGAATATATAAAAGGAATGGTGAAGTGAAAGCCTGTTGGTGGTAGTCTTATCACTGTAGGCGATGAAAAATTTATATACAAAAGTAAATAATTACTGATAGAGACTACTCTCGGATATTTTAAACTATTCAGTAAACGTTTTTATCATTTTAAACACTGTACCTAGGGGAATTGTTGAATATATTTTGTATAGATATATCTGCAATACAGATTTTTTGACAAGAAATGTTGAAAAACTATAGAGACTGGCCCTTATTTTGGATGGGCAGATAACGTTGTACACATTTTAAAATTCTTTCAACGTAGTTCTGTCAAGTTTGAAATGATTATAAGATGTTGCAGAACAAATGTGAATTCGGAATTTAGATGCACTGTAATTGAAAATAATATACATTGTTTAACTAAAGCTGATTGTTAACTAAAATATTAATCAATGGTGTCCTTTAATAGACAAAATATTGAAAGAAATTAAATTTTTAAATAGAATTGGTCATTTTTAATTCATATCCCAGAGTATATGGGAGATTTTTTACCAAAATATGAAAAACTAAATAATTTGACGACAATAAATGAGAATATTTGTAATTTTAATATTTTTATCTAACATCCTCATTTGTGTACATTAAATATTATTTAAAAATACTTTCTGGCCCTAGTTGTGTTGCTATGAATATAAAAAATTTGTTTGGTATTTTAAAAGTACATCCATCCATGTGAAGAAAAAAACCAATAAAATGGTTATATTGTCGTCCCTCGACAGGACAGGAAAATTGTGGTCAATCATTAAATGAAATTTTTAAAGAAAAATAGGGATAAGTATAAATATCATAAACAATTTAATACAATGAAAGTTTAAGATAAAAATGTCCATCAGTCTTCTATGGAATGTGGAATTTATGTGGGAAATAAAAGCTTTGTAATTTGTGTACAGTGTTAGCTTAATTATATAGTGAACCTTCTATAACTTGTTAAGCCGGATAAACACTGCCCTCACGGTTGTCAACCAATGCAGTTTCATGTGGAAAGCAAGGCGAAAATCTGCGCACAATTTGTTTATCATGACAATGCGTTCAGTCTGCCGTCAGCAGATGGCATCAGGGGGTCACAGAGATTTCGTTAACATTCATACAGTACAGTGCATGCCCAGATTTTTAGTAATAACTTGTGCATGATATGAACATATACAATGTTCATAACAAATTTTATGAATGCTATTAAAGTTTAATTCTTTTAAAGCACTTGTGATTTTAATTGGTTTTAAATATAGAATTTGAAATTGTGCATGTTAAAATTTATTTTTTAAGAGATTTATTATATTTCTCCTGAAATATACATTATAAATCTTTGTTTTTTATATTCACTCATTCACCAAATTAGGAATAAATTATAGATATAGAGAGTACATGAAAATGTGTTCAGATATGTGTTGATAGCATTAAAGCTTTACAGGGTGATAATAAGCCTTGACATTTAAGTGTTGATATTGTGCATGTGTAACCTTTAACCTTTACTTTATGTAGACAAACAATTTAAGTTTAGGGAGATTTATAAGGATAATCTTTGGAGATTCGTATGTATTGAAAATGTGTGAGAATATTTATGATATAAAACATTGGTAAAATTCAAAATTAAATTGTAAAGGATTATGAGATAAATTCAGCTAATTGTGCGAGAATAATTATGAGACATTCTTGTGAGATACTGTACAACAATTGTTCAAATTTTTGAGAATAATTATGAAATAAAACATTTGTAATATTAAAAATTAAAGTATGAATAATTATGGGATAAAACTTTTGTAAGGTTCATTTTTTCAAATGTTTTATGAGAATGAAATTAATTGAAAATGATGGGATTCAATGAAAATAATTGTGAGTTTTATTAGATCTTAGAATTAGGTGATAGCCCATTGTAGCATTGGTTTGTTTTATATAATACTTGCCTTATTAGTGAAGATTTATTACCAACTTTATTTTTTTTTGCAATTTTGGAACTACCATATTCTGTGGTAGTGTAGTTATAATGATTTTCATGCAATAAATGATGTAACAAGATGTAATTGAAAATGTTAATGTAATAACGAATGGTAACAGCTGGAACATCATGGAACATACTATGGCCATTGGCTTGTGTGTTTATTCATGCAGAAAATTATGCATGGTTGTCACTGGTGATTTCTTTGGTCTCATTCATTAGAAAATGATTTGCCCATTCACCATTATGTTTTACTAATGTACTGTATTCTTCATTTCAATTTTTCCTTAAATTGTGCTATGTAATAACTAATTTTAATTAATGTTAAAAACGTTTTAAAATTGTAAAGCTGATAGGTCAGCTGTACGTACGTGTTTGCTTAATTATTTTGATAGTAAAGGTGTGGAATTTGTTTCCATTGTGTTTGAATGACAATATCATTGGCTAGGAAATATTATCCATATCTTTTGATCTGTATAGTAATAGCTTTTCTTGGTTTATCTATTTAGCAGCTTCTGGTAAATAAATACACAGGTTGTGATATGACACATGTTATGCAAAGTAGTTTATTATTTCTTCTCTTTCACAATGTCTTTATTGACATTTAATATAAATTCGTTTGAAGTCTAGATGCACCTTGAATTTGTCAAAATGTGCCTTACAATTTTGCAACAAGCATGATTTCTTCATTGTCTACTTTTAGTGACAATTACTTACATCATTAAAACCTGACAATTATTTACATCATAAAATAAAATAACATCGATTAGATTAAGTAGTAGTTGTTTTGTTTCCATACTCATATACTATAAAATATATATATCTATAAAAATATATTACAAAACCAATTATTAAGCTAATACCTGTATTATTTTTTTATTTACGAATAGATTTAGTAGTAGTTCGTTTTGTTTCCAAACTTGTATTCCTGTATTCTATAAAATATATACTGTACTATAAAAATATACTGCATTACAAAACCAATTAATTTAGGATAATATCCATTTCTCTTGATTCTGATTGGCTGGTAAACGTTATAAATTAAAATTTAATTTTACTAATTAAAAACATTGATTAACATTTTGACATGCCATATACAGTACCATGATTAAAGCAATGGAAGTTAAAATATAAGTTAAATTATTCCAACTGTTACTCGTAGTAAACTTCGTAATTTTTATCTGGGGACAGAATATGTGCAAAGAATACAGGTATTCAAATATAACGTAGCGCGAAAGAAAACACACTTATCAGTTGAACTTTGAAACAGAACGTTGAACAATCTCTTGAACATACACAAGTCTTTAAAGTTAGCTGAAAATCAGGCCATATCACATTCATATATGGCAAATCACAGTTATTATGCTCTGTTCAAACAACAAAAGGGCCTACCTATGATTTGACAATTCTTCGTAGTGTGGACGGAGCCAAAGATAATAAATAACAAAAGATGGAGCAGTTCGCGATATAGTGGAACGCTTCATGAGAGCAATTTTCCTCCACCCGAGTGGCGGCGCTATATCTTTGATTAGTTCTGATTGCTTGGATTGTTTGGATAACTCTCTGGTTCGTTTGTTTTCATTAGTTTCTCCACTCCATCAAATAATTTTCCTCCATTCTAGAGAGGGCGGCCGTTCCATCAAATTTAATGCAAACTACGCAATGAGCATTGAGCTCATTCTTCTGCTATTTATGTTCTTTGACTGAGCGTAGGAATTGATACAATTGGCATAACCTACGGGTTTGATTTTAGCACGTGCAGCAGATACTTGATTGATGTGTACAAAGAGTACGAGTAGAATTATGATTGGATACCAAGATATTTTTTACAAAGTCCATTGATAATTTTATAAGCGGACAGAAAAACTATTAGCATTAGTGTAATAACATTTCAATGAGTTATATGACCTGTATTTTGACGCTTGTGTTTTAATGTTCCCAGCAAATCGGTTACTAACAAACAAAACCTCTTCTTCCTGATTTGTTTTAGATGAAAAAAAATCTTTTGTTGATGAGTTTCTTTAAAATTAACAATAGCAGACTTCTCGGAACAAAAATGGAAGCCTTCTCTAACATAACGTACTACTCCTTCTGAAGCTTCGATAAAATGTTTCTTAGTTTTCGCTGTAAGAGGCACCCCTTTTGTCACGAAAATCTTTGCCATCTCTCATCGTAACAATATGCCCATTTCTTATTACCAAATTCTCTTCACCAGCATCCTTTCTCTTTTTAAGTTCTTTCTTTAACTCTCTTTTTTTTACTGTAAGATCTGGAGATAAATAGATTTTTCTTAACACATCACTGTCATTGTCTCTAAGTCCTCTGCGTTTGCGAAGACGCTCTATTTTTTCATCAGATCCAACAATTATCCTAACAATCTGACGAAAGAGTATTAGACAACGAGTGCTCATTGGCTGATAGTCCTGTTGTGTTGAAGTCTGCCATACTACAACTAGACATTCTTGAAGATCCAACAGACGTCAACGCATTTTGTAAAACTTTTTTTGCTTGGCGGCATCTGTTGATGTGATATTTCACATTTTTCAGTTGAATCTGCTGTTATAGCCGGCCCTATCAATTATTATGCCAGTTGTATTTTCAGTTTGCAATAGCATATTATTCTTGTAGAACTCTTGTGATTCTGTCTCATGGTTTGGGCGTGAATGATCATCTTGTCGACGACTAATGCGGCCTTCCTTTGATCTTATATCTGGTGACTGCTATTCTGAGTAGCTTACAACGGCAGGCAGTAATTTAAACCACCTGAAGTTGCACTACTTCTGTCACACATCGAGTCCGCCTGAGAGATGTGCTGAAACGACGCCGTCACAAGGCATCGTGGTGTTGGCAAAGTGGTAGCAATTTCTGAGAGTCGCCGACGTTTACGGGGCGGTTTATCTTTGTCTGTTTTATTATTCCCTCTGCATGGTGATATATTCAAATTAAATGAATTCTCTGTAGGTATTAGTGATTTTTTAGGTGTAGACGTAATAAAGTTATGTGTAGTTAACGTCTCAATTTGTGTCTTTGCTGACGTAGACGAATTCTGTTTTTTGTTTCTGTTTTTTCTAAGTGCTAGTAGATACATCGTCGCTTGACGACGTCGAGAAATTAGCTTCCGTATGATCTTCGAACGTTTGCTTTTTTCTAGACTGGTGATCACGTGGACAGCTTTTCGTAGCAATATCTTATCTCCTTCTTGAAATCTAAAAGTGAACTTCTTTTTCACATGATCAAGAAGCGCATGAGCTAGGAATTTTGCAGTCGCACGAATGCGTGGATTTCGTTCACTGGTCTTGTCGGCATGATTCTCGGTTTCAACTCTGCGACATATACCGACATCATTAGCGATGGTAAAGAAATTCTGGCGTGTTTGATCTTTTACTTCGTTTGGATGTGTGTCTGGTAGTACTAGATTCTCGTCTGGAAGTCCAATTTTGTAACAATCGCTCCACATAAATGGAGGCTAAATAGAAGTCAAACAAAGTCAATATAATAAGAATGTAATAACATCCTGGTGAATTCAGGATGTTATATTTTTCAGCAAACAGGAAAATAATTGTGTGCTCAAAAAACAACAAAAGTACGTGGGACCTCAACTTTGAAATTAAAAATGGCAGACCATTCGGCTTCATAAACAGACCTAAACTGTGGTTACTTGAAAGTGAAATGTTATTTTCTTGCCAAGCCAATTGCTTATTAATGCCAGATTTATTATTAATATTAAACAAGGTCAAAATTTGGAAAGTTTAGGCTGAGACCACAATAGGTTTAGGCCTAGGCGCCCTATGCATAAGCCTACTATACCAATAGAGCGCAGTTCTATAGGCCTATGCCATATACTTACTGTTGTTTTATAGTATTCTTCAACTTGTCTTGCTGCAAGTATAACTGCTTGCAGTTGGTCCTTGTCGCTGTCAACTACATCAATGTTACTATTGTTATGTTGTTCACCATCTACTGGTGAGAATATAGACCTAGGCTTATTATATTAATTAGCTTTTATCTTAGTTAGGATGATGATGATGATGACGATGTGATACGATATGATGATAATGATGATACTATTAATTGATGATACAATTAACAAGGATAACAATAATAATAGTATTAATAATAATGACAACGATATTATTATTATGATGATAATAATTATGATAATAAATGTAAATAATAATAACACTATCAACGACATAGTAAAAATAATAATAGTAACAAAAATCCACATTACGTAAACGTTGTAATAAACGATCGTGCAATTTACGGCTACAAAATTCAGCATACCTTTTTCTTGCATGCTTGACCTTGATTTTTTGTATTGTTCTCTTGATAAATTTTCTCAAATTAAAAAAATTCTTATTCTTTTTCAGTTGTAGAATGAAATAACGCGCGCGTACGTACAGTGCATCGCGTAAAACATGGTTGCCGGGCGCGTCGGATCCGATTTACGAACACGGGGAAAACGGTGACGAAACATAACATTAATTTAATTAATGTAAACAGTACCGGTAACTAACTAATAGTTAGTTACTGTTTCATCTACTTAACCGCCAGGGGGAGGGGGACTCACAGATGGAAAATGTCTAGACCACCTAATTAATGATTATGGCACCTAAAGATGGCCGGAAAAATGAAATTTGAAATATATAATTTTCGGGTTTTTCTGTATTTTCACAAATAATTTTATGGAGCGAGACCCAGCAACTGGCACAAGACCGCACTGAATGGAGGAAACTATGAACATCTCATCGTGACACAAGGACTCGGCGCTGCAATAGACAGAAAACCGATGATGATTGTGTATAATATTTAAAGTTTTTTATATTTAAATTTAATTGTAAAATTGTAGCAATTTAGTTTCTTACTGCCTATTACAAATTTTTTGAATAAACCTTTTTGAATTATTGAATATATTTTCTCAAGAGTTGGTATTCCTACTTGTGGACCTTCATAATGAATAGTACAGTATTTTACATGTGAAAAGTTGATCAGTTTCTTTGACCAATAGAGGGCGTTTTTCAATAAACAAGGTTCATAACATAACATTATCACCGACGTCCAGAGGAGGTGGCATTGTTGTAAATTTAATTTTTAGTATCTATGTACCACGTGGATTTGTTAATATTTTGATCACCATACGGACCATTATGTGATGAGCTATAATGCCTCAAACAAGTAGATACAATTATGTTGCCATTTCCGCCCTGCTGTTGTTTGCATACTGTGTTTTGCCAGCCGTAGGCCTAGAAGGTTCAACCTTGTCATCGTCGATGAAGGCAGAGGGTGAAGACCAGGGCGGACGCTCTTTTAGTAGCTGGCTTACTGGTCAGGGTTTAGAAGCCTACGAAAACGTGTTTTATGCTGTTGGTAAGCCACGTCGTAATTTGTAGATGGATTGGCCTACTCTCCAACATGTAAAATAAAAAATAAAAAAACGTTACTATTATTAAAATGGATATTAATTATTATTCTGACGTGCCTTAGGCTAGCCTTAGTCTAGGCATATTTCCTCCATGGTCTAGGTTAGGTAGGTGCAGCTAGGCTGACCTTTGACATGGTCACTAGTGGATTTTATTAGGGAGCTTTCGATTGTACAACCAAGGTAGGACGTAGAACGTAAGAGAATGGAATGTAGGACGGTGACACATGATTAATTCCGTTCTAGCGTCGCGTCGTCGCACAAATCGAAAGCTCCCTAATGTAGCAGAGAATTACAGCAAGATTGAAGATTAAGGGTCATGTCAGCTCTACCAATCAAACACCGAATTTATGTAAGGTTTGAGGAACAATATCCATGGCCAACTAATAATAGTCATAAACTAACAAAAAAAATGTATTATTAATATTATTCATTCAGTTAAATTTTGTATGTAAAATATTATATAAATAAATGATATATGTACAGCGTACTTGACAACTACGTAGCATGGCCAACTGATGCTTCAAAGGTATGCACAATTCCCTGACTGTTTTCCTGACTGTCAGTCATCCACTTATATCCCACCCCTGTTTGAAACTAACACATTTCCCGCAAATTCATGCCATGCCATAAGTTTTATTAATGTACCATTCCTCGAGTATAGCCCACCTTGGGTATAAACCCACCTCCTAATTTATGCCCAATTTTACATAACTGCCTTTCCTCGGGCAAAAGCCTGTGTAAGATTTGAATGAGCAGCTTTGCTTACTTTTACATGATCCTCTAATGAAATATTGGCGTTGAATTAGTAATGAAAAATTGCCTTTTGATTGAAAAGGGGCTTTCCCAGGTATTGGTCTACCCTCTCCCCCATGTCTAAAGTTAGCTGGCAGTTAGGTATAGAATTATTAGATGTGTGTTGTAGCATGCTCCTGAGAGAGGTTGAGCCCTTTTTTTTCGCCCAGTTTAATATGCTAAAAAAAATGTATTTTATTTAGTGTTCCTGAGGTTATTGTCAAAACACCCCTTTGAAACAGTGCCATATCAAAACATTTTTTACAAGTCCCCAACCATTACCATACTATTAAAGCAGCTGCTACCATGCATTAAAAAAATACAAATTTTAATGTACTTTTATCATGCATGATGGTGCCATGAAATCTCCAAATAAGAACCACTTCACACAACAAGTCATCTGTGAAATAGTTCGCGCTTCGTTTCAGTCCAAACGCTAGTACTTCCAGCACTTTGCTTGAGTTGATTACAATATAAGGAAGGTTTGTTAAATAAGGTATAAAAATGTCTTGCCTAAATAATAATGAACCTTTCTCAGAATTGGAAATTAAGCAGTAGAGAATTGTTGTAAATTTCAGATTGTACCTTAGAAAACTGTAGACATGATATTGATATGACCCACAATGCCTTTCGTGTATTGGCGCCAACAGCCATGGCAAAAGTAAAACAAGGAATTCTCCAACTACAGAACCGGACAATTCTTCTAAAATGGCTGCAGAGGATTGGTCTTAGCCATTGCTTTGAGAGGTAAGTCCTTTTAAGTAGAAATCTAGAAAATATACCTCGGCATCATCCACACAGTGACAATGCTCAGCCAGAGATGGATTCAAGGGTGTCATTGGCCCGACCTGCTTGTGCACCCATAGTTTTTGAAAATTCAAAAGAAATTTTGAAAACAAATTTTTTAATGTGCATTCAAATTTGAGAGTGCCATGTAGGTTGAGGTGCCATAGACTTCAGTCCCAACCATGGTGGAGTCGAGGTAGCAGTTCAAACTCTTCATCTGTATTTAATTCCCTTTTTGGGCCCCTCTATTTTGAATTCCTGGATCCACTTCAATAAGGCAACATCTGAAAATTTTCTGTAGAATTTAACATTTCTAATATAAGATATACTATTGTCTGTTGAGTTTGACTTGACCATAGAGTCTATTACTTGACTGAACAGTATAGATATACAGTATGTATGTATGCTTGTCAGTGTTTTATAATCTAACTGATGATAATGTAGCAGACAATATATTATTCATAAAAGATAATTTACCAACACTATGAATTGGAGTATTGCTTTATGCATTGGTGTTAAATTCTGCCTTTGGCCAAAGGGCAACTATTTTTATGGGGCATTTGTATCCTCTCTATTTATTTACATATTAATGTATGTGATCTTGATTTAAAAGCCTAACAGTCTAATACAGTACATCTCATTCCTTTTATCTTATACAGTAGTACATTTGGTTCATTTTTTGACATAATTAGCTTAATTTCATAATATTTACATTTCATTATCTATTTGTCAATGCTTTTATATTATTAGTACTACTTTCATAAAGAAATCATATTTTATTCATCTTTGCTTGATGTTTATACCATTGACACACTAATTACAAAAATGTGTATTCTTGAGTATCATTATTTTTAATGTTAATGTGAGTTAATTGAAACTATGCAAGTTATATCCAATAAAAAAAATAGGTACCTACCAGCTTTATGTACTGTAAATATTGGTTTATAGGTATGAAAACATATTGCTGCTTAATTTCACCTTTGTACACTTTGCAGTGGTTGTTAGTCAAGCCTAAACTAAACAATACAAATCAATACGTCAAATGGTACGCAGTAAAATCTCAACCATACAATAGCACTGTACTATTATGATTAGATTGACTTTCAAAGTCTACTGTACTAACCATTGTTTCTACTTCGTGTCTAGAGTTTCTATTTCATCTTTTTATTTTTTCAATTCCATGTTTTCATTGTTTTATTTTGTTTCTACAGTACTCCATTCTCATTTCTCTATTCCATTTTTCTATTCCATGGTTTCCACTCAATGTTTCCATTATATCTTCTTCCATATTTCCACTGTTTCTTCTTTTTATTCCATGATTTATATTATATCTTTCCATTGTAGTCTATGTTTCCATTGAACTTACTCCATGTTCCCACCGTTTCCACTCTTTCTATTGCATGATTTACACTCAAATGTTTCTATTTTATCTCTTCCATGTTTCCATTGTTCTTATTCCATGTTTCTTTTTATTCCATGATTTATATTCCATCTTTCCATTGTATTCTATTCAACTTTATGTTTCCATGGTTTCTACTCATCCCTTGTTTCCATTGTCATTATTCCATGTTTCCATTTTTTAAGTGGCAAATGACCACATGTTTGTATAGAAAATACCTATAGGAGTAACCATTGTTACCATTGGAACTATGGTTCCATGTTTCTACTTCATGTTTCCATTGTATCCATTCAATGTTTCCATAATAGAAGATGTTTTAATTGTGTCTGCTCTATGTTTCCATTCTATGCATTCTATGTTTTCATTGTTTCTATGTGTATTCATTGGGTGTGACTAAATAACAATGAGGCTATGTACTGCATTTAAACCAATCACAGATGAGAACTCAGGATGTTTATATTTTTAACAAGCATAGAGGAATAAGTGCAACATAGGAATGAATGTCTTGGTGACATCATCAAATTTAAATTAAACAATGTAAGCCTATATAATTAATGAATGAATTTTTGAAATTAATGTGATGAGTATTATTGATACTGTACTATATAAAGCCTTGTCCCAACTATCAAATTTCATTTGATAAAAGCATGTGACATGCCTCATTATGGTCATGATGACATCACATCATGACTTATATGGGAACATCATGACTGTATATGGGCACATCATGACTATATATGGGCACATCATGACTGTATATGGGCACATCATGACTATATATGGGCACATCATGATATATGGGCACATCATGACTATATATGGGCATACAACAGTTCTTTTTGTCAAAGAAAATTGATAATCTTGACAGAGCTTTAAGCTTTGTCCACACTGTCAGATTTTATGTGACAAAAGCATGTGATATGCCCATATTTGGGCGAAATATCACATATGGGCACATCACACAAATGAATTGTTACATCAAATTTGATAGTGCAGTCAGAGCTTAAGGTATTGTATGATATGGGTTGATGGTCTTCTGAAGCTAGCATTCTGTCCATTAAAGCACCATGGGTTGTCCAATAGCATCACACTGCTGACCTGCAATGACGTTAAAGTCGCAAGAACTGATCAGCTCCAATCAGTCATGATCAATTCTCACCTGGGAACGTTGCTGCAACTCGGATTGAGAAAGCATATTTGTCGCATTTAATGCAGAAAAATTGATGAAAATGCGTCAGAAGATTTAATAGCCTCAAACGTTATTTGTAAGGTTAATTTCACGTTAATATTTCACAACTAAACAAGTCTTAATGGCTAGTGCAGGAAATTGTTATTAGCCACTGCCTTGACTCGATGTTTAATTATTCTTGCTCTTTCCTGGTACAAGTACTAGAGTATATAACCCTTAAATTAAAACTACAGGTCTCAAAGAATATATTACCGTAGTTCTTTGCATAATGTACATTGGTCAGTGTGAACTTGACATAATTAGGATTAAAGTTGTGTAAAGATAAAATTAAATTTGTGAGACTCATCTCTTTAACCTGTTCCACAATAACTGTCTTTCTTATGCATAATTAAATTTTAATAAAATTTCTCAATCTCTGAACCACAGTATGAATAGCTCAGTAAAATTTATAGTGCCTACTAAAGTGTCCAATACATTTTGTTACAGAGCCATCAAAGATTTGAATAAACTGCTCAAATAGATCAAGAAAAATCAATAAAATGAATCGATCTCTCAACCACAACATGAAAAGCTCAGTAAAATTTGTAGTGCCTCCTAAAGCGTCCAATACATTTTGTTATAGAGCCATCAAAGATTGGAATAAACTGCTCAAAGAGATCAACAATAATGCAAGCATGTTAACAATCAAGATGATATACTTAAGCATCAAATTTATTATGTTATAGAGCCATTAAAAATTTGAATAAACTACCCAAAGAAATTAAGAATAAAGCATAAAGCAAGCATGTTTACCAACTACAATACAGCTAAATGACATACTACTCACATGTATAGCTGAAAATTAACTTGTTATGGTACAGTGATTATGATGGTTATATAGCATGGAGAAAATATATTAAGATCCATCATTTATGCCATATTTTTTAGCACCTTTTTTGCTAGGTTTTGAATTATTTTTTATTGATTTATTTTTTTAATAATTCCAGGCAATCTTGTTTAAGCAAATTTTTAGGTTCATCCTCACATCATTTTTTTAAAACATGTTGTTTCATTCATTCATTCATTGTGGTTTTTTTTTAAATTGGACATTGCAGTACAAAACTGAATTGAGTCAGTTTACAAAATCAATCTTAAAAAATATGTTATATAATCAATATACAAGGACATACGTAACATACATACAAAATATAAAATTGAATTTCAACCACCACAAAACAATTAAAAAATTAACAGTTAAAACGGATTAAAAGAGAAAGATATTATACAGAAAGAATAAATATATTTTAAAAAATAATTTTTAAAATTTAAAAAATATATTGCGGTATATGATTAGCATAATTATTATTACAACTGTAATTTATTAAAATATACAAATTTGTTTGAAAATATGAACAATTGTCAAAATATCATTATTGATTAGTTTACACCAATTCATTTTTTTATTAAAAAGGGTAATGTTGATTTTTTAAGTCTTTCTGTAACACTTATACTGTCATAGTTTGCTAGCGTTCCGTTGTATTTTATTAGTTGCTTCAGAACGGGCCTCTTGGAAAGATTATCAGCCATATTTTCATGGACTGTCTCCCCCAAACTTCCGGACAAAATGTAAACGGTGGTCACAGGGTCTCTCCAGAGAAAACTGCTCAAGGGCGGCAGTATATAGTGAAGTACTGTCCAGAGAGTTACAATATACTGTATTTAATATGATAACTCATTTCTGGGAAAAACGTATTTTTTATTCAAACCCACGACCTTCCATTTATTGTTCATTTAATCTACCAAATTGTGAGCGTTGAGCCCATGTCAGTGTACTCTCTTTAATTTTTACAATAGGAAACTTTTTCAAGGTATTTTATTTTATACAATTAATTCATACCTGTAAGATATAAAAATTTTTAGAGAAAAATATATTGCTGATGGAGATGTTTTCCACGCTTAGGTATTGTATTTAGCTAATATAACTTGAAAAAATAAATATTTCTAGGCAAAAAAATCAAATGGGGAAAAAAAAACATCAAAAATTTAATATAAAATTTTAATTGCTAATTTAAAACCAATGTAAGCTATCATTTTTCTAAAAATTAAAGATGGAAAAATGTCTCATTAAGTTGAAATCTAACTTTATCCTTTTAAATGAGTAAATCAGTATACAAACATAAATTTTTGAATCTTTGAACACTTGCATTGTAAATGCAAAGTTCTGTTTCTGTGTATTACAGATTTCCACTGATTACCAATAAAGCATAATGTACCTATTTTAGTTAAGAATGTAAATTAATCTTGTTTCTTCCTGGAACTCAACAATATATCTTGTCAACAAAACCATTAGGTTATTGCCTTGTACATAAATTTGAAGCAATAGAAAGCCTTTTATATGCAGTAAACTCAAGGATGTAGAGATTTTAAGGATGGAAAAGTGGGTTAATAAGGGTGGGTGGAGGATATTGATATTAGCTTTAAACTGGATGGAAAACATTAAGACTGGGCGGTCCCACACACCTCTGCCCATCATAACTACACCCCTGACAGGTTATGCACAGGTATGTTGTTTTGGGGAGAATACTTTAGACAGGAAATTAGTTACACTTTTGATAATTATTTCTGAGGACTGTTGGTTTCATTTTTTATTTACATACTGTACATCCTGTTATATTTGTAAATGCAGGTCTCTTCCAATTAAAGATCCCTCCAATTAAAAACCACTTTTCTGTGGTCCCAAATAAGGAAATGTCTTTATCTTTATTATTATTCTGATTAGAGACCAAGCTTGTGACCATGGAACCCTGGTCCCGAAAGTGGTTTTTAATTGGAGGGAGACTTGAATATGTTATATTATAATGATGATAGTGGTAATGATGACGATGGCAATGATCATATTGATGATGATAATGAAGTGTGGTTTTCATATTTTTACCCTGGTTATTGAATTAGGCACATAGTCAGCCGTACTTTTGTGGGAGTTATCCATACTGTACTGTCTTATTGCAGCTAGAAATCAGCTCATTGACATTTTAACCTGTGGTGCCTGATACCCAACTTATACTCCTAGGTAGAGAGAGCAGTTGAAGCAGTGCTTTCTCCAAGGAGACAAGCTAAATGCATACCTGGGATTCGTACACCTGACCTCAAGGTTGAAAGCCCGAACCATAACCGTGGTGCCAGTCTTTCGCACTTAGTGTTTATTTCTAGAACTGGAAACTTGTAAATGCTTTTTATTACTTACTGGTTTTTTTTTTTTCATCTTTGTAGTTTTGTTGCTGGGGGCTATGTTAACCTAAGTAAACTGCATAACCTTGGACTTGGTCCGCAGCCGGAAGATCTCAAAATATCAGCAGAAGATTACGCCAAGATTGAAGCTGAAGCAAAGCGCATACATGCACTGCGGAGGAAGGAGGAACAGGTGGAGGATAAGAGATCATGTTTTGCATATTGTAAGTAAAATGATTTTGATTATGACAAAGTTCTGTCTGGGTTGTACATTATAGTCTTGTGTTCAAATCCTGATAGTGATCAGTTATTGATTTCTATTACAGTATGTGATACTCAGAGTTCTTTTCAAATTTTATTATTATTTTATATAAAAAAATTATATAAAATGTGGTATGGAATAGGATTTTATATATTCTTATTCAGTTAAAAAAAAAACATTTTATCTTTTTAGCTACTGTATGTCAACCCACCGTACGAAACAAACGTCTTTCATCTAAATTCTTATCATCTCTGCTTCTTGTTATCCCGGGTGCTCACTGTGGCCGATGATCGTCGGCCAACGCGTTGTTATGGGAAAAATGCAACGGCATAACGGTACAACCATTGTACGACGCAGTCACTGCCTGGCTTTATCTCCTTCTGTTTAAAGCCTCTTGATTTCATGATTTTCATTTGTAATGACGAAAGGGAGGCCATGATTCAATGAATCATGGCCTCCATTTCTTTATTCGGAGTAACGTTTGTTCCATGTTATTTGAACATAATCAGTGCATCTGTTGGTTCTTCATTTCTATCTTTTCATTTTCAGGGAACATTATTCTGATCTTGTTGTTCATTATCCCATTTTTATACCTGAGAAAGGGTATTTACAAATTTTGGGATAAAAGAAATTTTGTGGATCCGCTTAAGTCCAAGATAACATGGGGCTGGGAAGATGGCCAAGTGGTCGGAAGAATGGAGAATTTCAAAGTCGAGGTAAAAATTAATTGTTTTTCATTTATAATGCTCATAAAAATTGGTATCTTACCAACAAGCAAAAATAGAGTCTATATATTTTATGCAACACCATTGTCCATCAACTATAACGCTCAAGGCATTTTGCATAAATAAGGATGTAACACACTGTTGTCTAAATACAACCTGTAATAATAATAACAATAATAACTTCATTCAACCGTACACAGTGACACACACTATGAAAACATTAAAAGAACACAGTAGATTTGTACATTAAGACACATAGTACAAAAAAACGTACAATGTATTACTGATTATATAATGGTGAAACCAAAGAAAAACTGAGTCAATAATCTTTTTCCTGTTAACTTAGGCTGTTCTGACATTCCATAGCTGTTGTTATACTACACCTTTTACACTCAGGACAAATATAATTAGGTGCTACTGGGTTTTTTCATTTACTATTGGAATTTTGAGGCATAGCTACTGAAATGGATTTTAATCTGTGATTGGAAAATAGATTCTATGCAGCTATAGTAATTTATCTGTCAAAGAATAGGAATTTAACTTTGAAATTTCATCTATCTCCCATTAAAAAAAATGAGTCTAATTATTTCCACCATTTATTCTCCATAACCAAACTTGTAGGAATTATCAAATATGAATAAATATAATTTTTAAAATGTAATTCAACAGAAAATATTGTGAAAATTTAGGCTTTGGATTTAATTAATTTTTGCATTGCCAGTTCTTCTATGGATGGGGTTCAAATTACACTGTGAGGTCTGCTGATGACGTGTCTGCTGAAATTAGTGTCGGTAGTCAGGCTGTGCCATTCCAGATTGAACGATGCGAAAACCAACAGAATGCCGTCAAAGTATCCTTCACCACAAGGCAGTCAGGGATGTATTATTTCAACATCCGCATCGGGAATAAGCTTATCTCGGTGAAGCCTTACAAGAAGGAATTTTTACCAGGTTTGTCTCATGATTCTTCCATAATCCACCAAATGAATAACAAATGAAAATGTAAAATAAATGGATAAATATATACCTGATTGAACCAATGAATGAGCAAACAATTGCATAATGAATGATTGAATAGATAGATGGATGGATAGGACAGAAAGGCAGACTGATGGATAAATGGAAAAATGTGTGAATAACTTGATGGATGGCATAAATGGATGGAAGAGTGCAAACAATGAATGAATAAATAATGTTATAGATATATAATACAGTATAATAGACTGGATGAATTTTTGAATAAATGAATCAATGAATGACTGATTGAAGGAATAAATGAATGAATGAATGAATAAAAAAAAATTAATGGATGAAAGAAAGGATGAATAAATGAAAGACACATAAACAATGAATTTGGCTGACTGACTGAATGAACGAGTGAATGAATTACATTTCAGATAGAGCAGCTAGCTCCGTCGGCTAAACTGGTGGAAGCCACTGTGTGTGTGTGTGCTTAACCGTGGAGATCTCTTGGTCACCGGTTCTTATCTCTGCTCTCCTTGTGTTTCAGCTGAAGGGCTGAAATTTAAGTTTCAAAAGTGTACCGTCGTTTAGATGAGACGTTTAGGCCCTGTCCTGTGTGCTAAATGACTCATGTGCATGTTAAAAATCACAGTACACTCTCTGGAAAGAGTAGGAGATTGTCTATGGGGGTTGCGAACTGCCCGATTCACCACAAAAAGGAACCCACTGGAAAAAAATCTTAGGACTTACATGGGTTATTCTTGGTGTGTGTGACATCCAATCCAATTCATGAATATGTGTATGAATAAATGATAGACATGTAAACAAATACAAATAATCCAACAAGAACTTTGAAGTAAATAATGATATGCTTGTTAATACCATGACTTGTTTTATGAAAGATGTATTAAAATATTTTGTGCACCAAACTGCAGAAAATTTAAACTGTTAATTTTCTTTTACTCTAAAGGCAGCATAGCACCAGCCAAGTCAAGCTTTGTTAATCATAGTTCAACAATAGTTGTGTGTATGGACGAAATGCACGCCCTTCACCTTGAAGTCTGCGATGAGTATGGCAATGTATGCAAGGAAAGGATATCACCAAGAAGTATCAAAGAGTATTCGATGAACGTTACATCCGTAAGTCAAATTTATTGATTTATTCAATATTTGATTCTGTCAATAATAAAGACGAAAGTGTGGGGCAGCATTTAAGGTGCTTGACTTCTGATCGGGATTGTGAGATCTGGAGTTTGGGACAATCGTTGCATTGCTTGTGCTCTTGGCCAGGCACTTTACTTGCTTTTGCTGGCTCCATCCAGGAGTATAAATGCGTAACGTATGAGTCATGCATGTAAAGCAGCATGATTAGGGATACTCCCCAGGAAGCAGAGAAAGTTGCACAAAGCACTTGCTGGTTTGCCAACTCGGTATCCAGTGACAGAAAATGTTGCCAGCACCTTGTTTATTCTTCATATTGTGAAAAATATTGTGATTTTAAAAAATATAAATGGCAACTGATTCTCAGGAAATTAGTCTGCACAGGTTTATATACACGTTCATATTTTATTTTTATTTTGTTTTGTGCAGCTTGATTCGAGTCCGATTGAGATTGAGACTCCATTGTGGGATGTGGTCGTCCAGGATGATAACTTACTCTCACTCTTCATTAAGATACAGGAGCCTGGTTGCTTCAAGGCTGTGGTGACCTATCGAGGTCAACCATTTTCTAATGGAGAGTTCAATATCATTGTGTTATCATGTAAGATGATAAAAACTATTATGTACCATTTTTCTCTAGAATGCTCACTAACTAGTAGATCTAGTGTAGTATTTATGACTTCCGGGCACACTGCTATATTAGTCTTACGTGATCACAAAACTAAAAGACTTATGGAATCAAATCAAGAACTTCTTATCGTGTCTATTCACGAGTTCATACTTTGTAGAGCATTGTCGATTTATGTCTAAAAACTTGACATGAAGAATCTTGTGTAGACTGGTGAAGGGATTGGTAGGAACAGGACTGCGAAGTGAATGGTCCTTTGTTGACCCTAATCAAGAACTAACAGAAGGCCACCACATCACCAGTTTCACCTGTTGATTATAAAAATATCAGCTGGTCACATATGTCACAATCAGGGGTTCAGGCATATTGGTCAGAGCATCAAGTTAACCTAAATAAATTGGAAATTAAAAGAGGGATAGTGTATGGTCTCCAACTAACAAATTTTCATTTTAAGTCAGTGGTAACGTCATCACTTTTATTTGCACTGAATTTTCCTATTCCCGACTGATCACTAATCGATATACTGAAAATTGTAGTAATAAAGTCATATTATTGATGTTAATAATGTTATTAGCTCGATGAGGAGCTCTAGAAACACTTGGCTGATTGATTAATAGATCTTTTTTTAGATCTACTGCCTCTATTATACTGCCCTCATGAGGCTAATTGATAAATAGTTGGTTGATTAATAGATCTTTTTTGATCTACTGCCTCTATTATACTGCCCTCTCATCGGAGCTTTCGAGATTACGAGAACTTTTTTTTATTATTAGTGATGTTATTATATGAAATGGTATTTTTCACAGCGGATGCCATAGAACGGGTGAATAAAACAGTTAGCAAGAAGAACATGGACAGTTATTATGAAGCAAAGCTTTTAGAATCTAATGGAGAAAAGCTTCGCAAACCAAAGAAAGTATTCTGTTATATTTCACCAAAGCAACTTACTATAAAGGAATTCTACCTGAAGATCATCCCAAAACGATTACACACCTTCCGAGTGTGTCCTTCAACAAAGGTATGGTTTACCAGACATGAACATGGTTAGGTGGCTGTTGTGCCTTCCTTTCATTTCCAGCGTAGTTGGTCCAATTCTTACCCCTATCAAGCTATAAATTGACAGGGAAAGACATGGGAACAAGAAAAGTTTCTCAAAAACTCAGGCAATATAATGACATAAATTACCGGCAGCATTACAGGTTGCCGCATCCAGTGATTTTCCAGCTGAATTACTTGTAAAATATTGCATATTCATCTAAAACATCCAACTACACATATTTTGACTATATATCACTTACTTCCTGCTTATAACCCTTTAGATGTAAGGTTAGTTGAGTGTGGAAAGCACCACTACTTAATTGGCCATGATGTGTGTTTCATGATATTACATGTAATGAAACACAACAGAAGTATTTTTAAATTATTGTTTACATTACCTTTGGTGTAGATTGTACATGTTTCTTGCCTAGCCTGGGATGCATGCAAATTAATAACAATGCAAAAGTACTCCTTCCTTGATGAGTATGAATAAGATAAATGAATATATATATACATGGTCGTTTCAGATTAGGCCCCGGATACACATGAGCCGCGGCGGCAATGCAGCACCCACCCAGGTCAGCACACCGAGAAACAATTCCCTATTCTTTTTACAGAGGGTATTGGGCTCTCTTCATACACATGTGCTATCATTGTATACACATATAACCAAGGGCATAATGTCCTGTCTAAATGATGATGAGGTAATTACTATACAAATATTTCATCTACAAGAATGCACTCATCATTAACAAGGCTGCACAATTTGGATGTAATGTACCTCACAGATCTACTCTTTATCTATGAGCCATCTTGTGACTTGACTTCATCTGATTTTTACCTGCTTAGAGACCATTCTCATCACAACAGTTGGTGGTTGGAGATCATTCTTTGTCGCAGCAGTAGAACGTCTACCTTTACCTATCAATTTAACCTGCATCATTTAAATCTGTTTTTCTCAAGCCATTGCATAATATGCACAAATAGAATAATACAGTAATATTCATTGCATATTATGCAAATACCTTGAGTAAAACATGTACTAATGGGAAATTCCCAGTGTGTACACTTCTTGGTGTCAAAGCTCATTTGGTAGAGTATCCTGATGGTAATCGGAAGGTCTTGGGTTCGAATATTGATGGGGAAAATATGTTTTTCCCAAAGAATGTGTTATTATGTTTTAACTACTGCATGTGTTAATAAAGATTATGAAACCAGACCTCCTAGAAGTGGCTTCCTCAAATTGAGATCCATGCGAATTCTAGTGACAGATTATTTTACAGCTCTTCCAGCACTAATCATTTAACCTGCATAACAAAACTTAACCATAGTCTCCATTACTTTCATTACCTATGACTGATTCCACATATACTTTGACCTCACCACACACTTATAATATGACTAAGTCATTTTTTAATCGACTCCTGGAATAACCCTCGCATGAGACTTAGGCAAGATAAGGGACAGTGTGTCTGTTAAAGGCAGGATAAGGAACAGTGTGTCTGTTAAAGGCAGGATAAAGGACAGTGTGTCTGTTAAAGGCAGGATAAGGGACAATGTGTCTGTTATTTTTCAGTACTGGTGCTGCACTGTATCTGGGGTCCAGCCAAAAATCCATATTGCATATCATTGATTACCTTCATCGGTACCAAGTATGTTCTCCTATATTTGTGACCAATTCTTTTCTTTTGTAAACACTTTTGTAGAAATTGTCTTCAATTTTTTCTTTCAGTTCAATTTCCAAGGCAATGGTGAGTGGCCTGAGTTCACCATTGATGATGGAGGACAGGATCCTGTAACATTAGCCAGCGAGAGCCGTGACATACTGGCAGCTACCTATGCAAAGTTTCTTCTTAAGAATATAGGTATTGTATTAATTTGTCATTTTATTCAAGCCAATGAATAGCCAATTCATCTTCATTGTTGACGGAGATGAATTCAACATCTTAATTTTGAGCTCACTTAGATTCAATCAAGCAATCAATCAAGTAATCGTTATATGGCAATATTCCAACAGTCTCTTCTTATGAGGCCATTTGGTAAAGATTTGGAAAAAAAACATTTTTATTAGCATATATTAAAAACTAAAATGAACATGGATTTTGTGTTTATGATTGAGATTTGTTCTCAGTCCTACCCAAAGGTGCTGTAGATGGGGTCTGTTCTCCTTGCCATTAGAAGTGAGAACATAAACTGTAGTGTTCTCACTTCTGCTCTCAAATTATCTAAAGTCTTCATTTAGTTATTACTAATTTTTGATATTGATATTTCAATTTTTCCCCAATCTTCAAACATTTCTATGTTCCTTCAGTGCAACTATTTAATGATAAATTGTTGTGGGTTTTTCACAGGTGGTTCAGAAACATTTAAGACAAAGCAGGAATATTTTTACCAGGAAGTTGCTGACAAGCACAAAAAGAGTCATCGTACGATTATTAATCTTAAGATTGATAGATACTCCCTCCTTGAAAGTGTACGTACAATACTCTCAAATAGTAATAAGTGATAGTGAAGTTGTTCATGATGATAATAGTAAAGTTGATGGTGCTGGTAAAGTTAGTATAGGTGGAGATGGTAAAGTTTATGGAGATGACAGTGAAGGTGATGAAAAGTGAATGTTAGTGGTAAATTTTGTGGTGTTTTTTTTTTTTTTTGGAGAAGGTGATGGTAAAATTGATAGTGATGGTAATGACAGTGCTGATAAATACAATAGTAAAGTTGATGGTGATGGCAAAGTTAGTGGATATGGTGATGAGTTAGTTGGCAATAACAGTGTGATGGTGAAAAGAAAGGTGATGGTGATGTTAAAATGGATGACATTGCTGATAATGATGGTAAAGTTAATGGTAATGATAAAGTTGATGGTGAAATTGATGGTAGAATTTATGAGGGTGAGGGTAAATTTGATGGTGATTGTAAATTTGATGGTAAATTTGTTGGTGATAAAACAATTGGTAGTGTTGTTGATGGTAAAGTTAATGTTGATAAAGGTATTACTCTTCACAAAGGACAAGTTAGGAAATCATTTATTTCCTTATTTCATCAGCTGCTAGACCATTAAGCTTGCCTGATACTCTGTAATTCAGTGTAATATCTGTTCAACCTCCTACAACTCATCATTTTTAATTGGTTATGTATTGAATAGATATTTATTTTATTTTTATTCTTTTATTATTGATTGATTTTTAGTATACACTGTACAATGCTACATATAATTATAATTTCCTACTATCTTGTGTCGTTTAAGGAAATATATCTCAGCTCAGCTATATTCTGTACTATTGTTACAGTTCATTATTTTATTGTAATCTGTTGTGTCTTTTTTGTTTTATCACAGTCAATGAAAGCAACAAAAAGTTTCACAACGTCTGACTGGTGTAAGAAATTTGAAATCAAATTTCTTGGTGAAGAAGGTAATTTAACATTTCCTGTTTACATTTATTATTATGATTACTAATGATAATCATCATTACTACTATTAGTATCTAGCTTATGAAATTCAAAATCTGACATTTTATTTCAAACTACAGATTACACTGGCATTCATGTTGCATGCATTTAAAAAAAAAGGTTTAGCCACATCACACCCAGTATGAACAAATGTGTGCATTCAATCAAATGTGTGCACTTTATCAAATGAATGTGCAATCAACATTCACACAAACACCTTTGGAAAATATTAATGACTTCCTTAATGCCATTGTTGTCTAATTTAAATACATATTTTTTAATTTATTGTAGGTTTGGATTGGGGTGGCTTATCACGAGAATGGTTTGGTATTGTGTGTGACAGTCTGTTTCAATCGGAGAACCAACTTTTCAAAAGTTTTAAAAATGATACTCAAGGATTGGTAAGAACACTAGCCTGGCCTAGCCTATATATATGTGTGTGTGTGTATATCAGGGGCATAGTGGAGGGGTATTAAGGTATTAGTCTGATACCCTCAAAATTTCTAAAACATGCTTTTATGATCTCCCTGTTTCTGCAGAATTACGAAAACAGCGTCATTTAGTACTATTATGCAGATTTTACATAATAATTGACCTAGTTCGCGTCTCATAGAAAGGGTAATAAAAACGTCATTCTTAATACTGTGCAGCCTATCGAGCGGTTGAAGCGCTGGGTTGTGAGCGAGATTGTGTTAGATTAAAAAAAAATGGCCAAACCGTGTTCGCTGCCTCTTTCGAGGCGACCGGAAAGAAATTTACGTCACATCCCCAATTGGTTGTAGATATGCTAGGCCTGCAATTTCTGATCCTAGGCCTTGTTGGAGGTGGCATCGACGATTCTCCAACGGTCCCCACCTGACATTTTTGGGCGATTGCTGATGTTCCCAATTCTGTGGTAAACCGGCCAGTTTAGGGCCCAAGATCCCGATTTATTTGTTTCCTCTAGGTAAAACTGTTTGTACCGTTTTATTAGGTCCTGCAACTTTGTTTGGATTTGCTGTGCCATCGTTGGCGAGTGGCTTGGCACAAAACGAAAATCTAGCTGCGATTTTCTCATGTATTTTTGTCTTGTTCTTTGATTTCTTGTCTTCCACTAACATTCTAATCTTGGGTTCTGCCCAAATCTCTATCAAGTCACTAATTTCTTCCTCGGTCCAACATAAACAGGCCCGAGGGTCAGATCCAGTTGAAGTTGACATAGAGGATATTTAGGGATATTACATGAAAAATAACATACAACAACCAAACCCGCAACGATTGTGAAAATAGCATTCTTAACTACGAATATTCGCACAAACAAGCTAACTACTTTGACCCCGGAGAGATGCGTGTATCTGATTGGCTTTCACACGAAAGAGGTCACAACTCACTGGCAACCCAATTGCAAGTAGCTGTTCGAGAGCGAGCTGCATCGAGAGTCGATCGAGAGTAACTTGTCATGGGTCACCCACGATTGTTGTATAAAATTCATTATAAAATTAATCAGTTAAATTTGAATGATATTATGTAGGGCCTAATGATCTATTATTCCCGCTATTAATAGTGTGCATAAGGCTTAGGCCTAGTTCAGACAGGTCGACTAGGCCTATTACTTAATAGGCCTACAGTAGTCGACCTAGATGGTAGGCCAAGATGCACATACAGAATACTAGGGGATGGGCTTAGGCCTTAGGGAGATGTGGTGCATTTGGACTATTTTAAAAACATATAGGCCTAGTTCAAAAGACAGGTCTGATAGCCTAGTTTAGGGGGAGGGAGTAGGGGCCAGGCCTAGAAGGTATGCCTTGATGCACATAATACTACTATGACTAGGCTTAGGGCGATGTGCCACATTGGACTATTTTAAAAAACACATTTGTTTGTATTAAGACAATACAGTACTTTATTAGATAAATAAGCTCCAGAGGCGGATCCGGATTGCGAAGGGGCCCTAGAATTTGCCCTAGGTCTATACCTGTCTCTTATACACATCTGTGGGATAGAGGTATGGGAACACACCCTGCTTTTCCCCAATAGCCTGGAAATAAATCTGCATTTGCCCCTATTATGTAGTGGTAGGGGACTCTACTACTCAGTGAACAAATGACCTTACTGGGGGTGTAATGCCTCACAACCCCCCCCCTTCCCACCCCTGGGAAATAATACCTCCTAATTTCTTCTCCGATACGCCACTTAAACAATCATAAATTTTGCTTCTAGGTTCATCCGAATGCAGATAGGCCACAATACATGTCAAAACTGAAGTACTTCGAATTTGCTGGTAAAATAGTCGGCAAGTGTCTCTACGAGTCGTCGTTAGGCCCTTCATATACTCAACTTGTACGTGCACGTTTCTCTCGCTCATTTCTTGCACAGCTTATTGGCTTGCGAGTAACATATAAGGTATGATCCAGTTTTTTTATGTGTTTTATTCTGGAATAGAATTGTAGTTTTCACACTATGATGGTTTTTTTTAGTGGGAGCGGTATGGTGGAGGGGTTGAACATTACAGCAGGACATCTGCTACATAATATGAGTTAAATCATTGGTGCATGTTGTAATTCCATTCATTTCTCGGGGTTTAAGTCTCGGATAAGGACTTAACCTGTAAGCCCAGCTTACACAACCCAAAACTTTTTTTAAAAAGATTAGGCAGTAGCGTAACCAGGTGGCGGGGGGTTTCACGGTGCCTGAGCAGCTTCCTTAAACGTGAAAAAAATTATAGTAAGTAAATGGCAAAGTCATTGATATGCTCAGTCCCTAGTTGTGTGCCTTGCATAAGCTTCAGTGGATGTAATATTTCTATTAAGCACCCCTCCCTTCGCCCATTTTCAAAATCCTGGTTATACCACTGTTAGATGTACCTAATTTTCCTAATCAACTTAGCTCTAGTTGGGATAGGTGAGAGAAATATCTGGATGTGACTATTAGGCGGTGGGGGAGAAATTTGTTGAATGAATTTGTCCGCAGCTGTGAAATATTCAGCCCTGTTAACCTGTGTATGACAGTTTATTCTCCTAACTTTACCTAGCTCATTCTTTTTTGCTCTGTTGATGTAATGGTTTTGAAATTTCACTCACAGTACTTTGAGACTGATGACCCAGAGTTCTTCATGACAAAGGTCAGGTATTTATTAGACAATAACATTGATGACCTTGACCTTGGATTGACCTTTACAGAAGAGATATATAATGATCATGGGCAAATTGATAAGGTGAGTGTCGTCATGATTGTCGTCATCATCCAAGTTATTATTATTCTAATGATCAACATCATCAATATTGTCATCTTTACACTGAAATCCTAATAACACTACACTCTATCAATGTAGTCGGTAACTAAAGCAAGTCACACTGACATCCATCTTTGCTATATGTGAGAGCGCTTGACAACGCAAAACCATCTGCTGATTTTTCGATGGCAGTCTAAGCTGATCGTCATTAAAACGATCTGTTATCCGCACCTCATTGCATTGTGCTTTTTAATGAAATTGCGTTGACCGATAACTGTCGGCAAAGTGCGTGCCAAACATCCAATTCATTATCATATTTCAGAATCCCAAATCATCACCATTGCAGAGTAGTTAACCTAAAGATCTGTCTAGACTATGAAAAATGTGACATGCCTAAATATGGTCATGATGACATCACATCATGACCATATAGGCACATCATGACTATATATGGGCATACAACAGTTTTTTGATAGTGTGGACAAAGCTTTACAATCAGAAATATAAAAATTTGACAGTTTGCTTTTATCTGCAGGTTGTTAATTTGAAAGCTGATGGGGAGAGCATCCCTGTAACTGATAGCAACAAGATACAGTACTTAAACAGTCTGGCTCAGTATAAACTAAGTAAATGCGTTGAAGACGAGATCGAGGCATTTGTTAAAGGTATTTCAATCACAATAAGATGAGGATGATATCTATTTCTAAGATATTTTTTTGCAAAATATGTATCGAAAGTGCAAAATACTTGTATTATGTTTAATTATAAATTTGATAACTTAAAGCCCTGTTCAGAGTATCAAATTTTATTTGACAAAAGCATGGTCATCATGACATCACATCATATAGGCACATCATGTATATATATGGGCATACAACAGTTTTTTGTTAAAGAAAATGTGATAGCCTATGCAGGACTTAACAATGGTTTTTAGCCTTGTGGCTACCAATCAAAATGTATGGATTGAATGAGCCCTAGAATTTGCCCTAGGTCTATACAGTAGTATTAGTAATGAACTAAGAGTTCATGACTTCCAAGTGTTATTGTGCTAGGGCAACACAGCAATTTTTTCCCTGATTTTTATTCTTTTTCTATATTTAGTGCCACATTTATCAAGGTTATCTTGACCATGATAGAAATTATAGTGAGAGGTTGCCCTGACAAAGGTGCAGATTTCCCTGAGGAGAGCAAAGTGGGCGTGGTCGAATGTTGCACAAAGGTGCAGATTTCCCTGAGGAGAGCAAGTGGGCGTGGTCGAATGTTGCACAAAGGTGCAGATTTCCCTGAGGAGAGCAAAGTGGGCGTGGTCGAATGTTGCACAAAGGTGCAGATTTCCCTGAGGAGAGCAAAGTGGGCATGGTCGAATGTTGCTTAAAATGTTCTTTGAAAGTGGTCCAGGGAAAAAATTTTGACAATTTAGGTGTTGCAAAGGCTTATTTAATGTTAGAGTTTACTAATATGTAGAAAATACATATAATTTTTTTTTCTCCCC